ATAAACACTTGAATTGCTCGAAAATAAACGAAATGAATGTGAATGAATTTAAGAAAAACTTAATGCGATTCTTGTGTGAGTGCGAAATGTTGCCTAGAGTGCTAATCGCCTTAAAATTGCGGGCGGCTTTATCGAATTTTTTGTTTTCTTTTTTTATACTTGAAATCATCTGTTGCCTTAAAAACTACGGTCTGTGACTAACTAGCAGTCAGCAGATTGCGCTAATCTGTTCATAAATTTCGACGAAGTTTGGTAAACATTTAACAGAACACAAACAACCAAAAATTCATAAACAATGGGAAAAAGTGAAAATGTTCATTTAAAAAAANTGCACGACAGCGACAATGTGGTCGCACACTCTGGGACTAACTAGCATGAAAAAAAAAAGCCTCTACAGCTCACGACAAGCAGTCTAAAAACTCTTGCAATCGAAAAATGTCTACTAGAACATCTAGAAAGATATTATGAGATTATATGCGTGCTGCAGCTATTGGGATTGTCGAAGATTTATTTATGCTAGTATGACTCTCCCAATGACAGTAACGACGTCGTGTGCAGGAAAAGTGATTCGTTTTAGAAGGCTTCACACAGCTTGTGCATCTCTCATTTGCATAAATAATTATTACAGTGGACAATTTGATCGTCAGTTGCATCCCCATACTGCAAAAATGAGAAAATGATTTTTTGAAGAAAATTTTTCGATGTTACGATGTAAATAATGACTCACTCACTCATATCAATTCAGTGACTGTAAGACACTAACTACCACATCATTGACATGCAGAAGATCATTGTGCTTCATCGTTTGGTAATAATCTTGAAAAACTCATTTGAGTATGCGCATATTCACTTAAAATCTCAAATGATTTATTGGTATGTATGTAAGCATATCCAAAAGAATGCGCCTAAACTATGAGAAGGAATGCGGATGTTGGAAAAAAAATTAATATCATGACTCAAAATGAATATTATGCTCTACAAAAACAGATCAAATAATAATGAAGTAATTTTTTGTCTTACACACTGCTCATGTGAAGTGAATGCTGAAGCGTTTTCGATTGGTATGCCTAATGTTAATGGATTCAGAGGATGTGGAAATAAATGTGGAAATGAATTTGACGAGAACTCATTCATACTTGATTGTTAATGAGAACACGAAACTGCACTGATTCGACGAAAATCGATAGGCATAATTTTTTGAATGATGAATTTTTAGCAAACTGCTTCATAGATGATCGGGCAAAAAAAAGTGGATGATAGCTTGGAGTTGAAAAACGAGAATGATGATGAAGACGGACTTGAACGTGTTACACTTGCGAGAAGAAAAGCGAGAAACGATAAACAAATGGCTGAAAAGTATGCGATTTGTTTATTTCACTCTGCAAACCGATGAACAACTTTCGAAAAAATTGTTTAGAAATAATAACGACTTGTTAGTAAGTGCTTAATGCGTGATGATGCAAACCACTTCTAGTGACTGACTCGTTCCTTCAATGGAGCAAACTAAAACTCAATTCGTCGACTCAATTCTTATAAAGTTACGCACAATTATTTTACTTAGTGCAAGCGATTCATTCGAATAACAGGCCATCTCCTCTGGATTTTCAGTGTGATCAGCAAGGGAGTTGAAATTCAACTCTTATCGAGCGCTCAATGGAGCAGCTGGAAGAGTGGCAGGACTGGGGAAGAGATTCAGAAATCCATTGGTCGGATAGAGCAACTCAAATCAGCCGCCCTAGGAAACGAGGCATTGATAAGGAAGGTTTAAATTGTGAGTTTGTTTTGCACTAGAATAATTTTGAACGTCATTTTGAAACATTGATAAGCATCGTGAAATTGTCAATTTTGCAAAACGCATTCATCGTTCATGAAATCTTCAGCAAATGCAGAGTTTAGCAATTGTTTCGAACATAAAATTTGCGTCTGAGAAATGATGTACTTAATGTGTAACATTTTCAACATAAACTTTCAATGACATGTGAAATATTGAAAAACAAAAAAAAAACTTTTTGGATTTTCGTCTGAAAATGTGCGAATGAACGAGCTGATGATGCTGGAAAATTTGTGATATGGACGCAAAAAGACTCATTTCTAGATTGTTGTCGAGTGGAAAAAGAAGTGCAGAAAGCCATAAAATTATTAGTATGAATGAGTTAATTGCTTTAGTTAATTGCTTAAAAATAACGTAGCGTTTAAGTCGTTTTCATTGATATTTTATGAGTAATTGAAAGCGTTGATAATGGTAGAATGATTTCTAAAAATTTTCCGTTTCACTGAGCCCCTCAAAAAAATGCTCCGTTCAAGAGCTCAGTTTTACAATACTGATCCAAGCTATTGATTAGAGCAACTTGCTAGCGTAATCAATCTTTATCACAATATCAACAGCGCACTACTGGTTTTTTGTAATCAAGCAGGCAACCGATGATCAGAAGGTCATCTTTTCGAATAACTATTTTATTTAAGCACGAGTGAATTTATTTGAATGATGTTCTTGCGATGACATTGGCAAATGCTGCGAGAAATTGGAATAGCAACGAAATCGAACCGAACTTAGGGAAATTTTGAGGGAATATTCGATCTGAATAATGCCAAAATTTNTAAGTGAGAAATCAATAGAAGAAAACTGAATAGAGGAAGATTGTGGGCAAGCAAGTGAGGCGAACTCTTATCAGAATTTCGAGTCTGCTGCGAGTGTAATCAGTGGCACAGTGGGTGCGAGATAGCGCCAATGAATAATCAGTGCTGTCACGGCATATACACATGTCGTTGTCCAGGAATTTGACTGTTCTATCGCAATTCTGACGTGAATCAGCAGTTCAAGACTCCTCAGTGAGAAGTTCGAGAGCAGCGAAGCTTGATATGGCCAGTGAGACTGGTTTATCGATACTATAAACTATGACTGTTTGCATGAGCATCCGCAAAAGTGAACGGTAAGAAAAATGACCTGCGAAATTGTCTGTCTGATGAGAACGTGAGAAGCAATGGTCAAAGGAATCTGAAAGACCATGGTGAATTCCAGAAATGATGGGATAAAACCTCCAGATTATTCGAAAGAGAGGAGTTGAATCAGAAACATCTTGAGGAGAGATTTCTCACACTCAATCTGTTGAGTATGAGCAGGAGGTATATCGTTAGTTTTGGCCTATATTAGTTTTTCCATCGGAACCACTTCAAATATAACTGGTTCGATGAAGTTGTGGTGGGCAGAAAAAAACTGCGAAGTATTATGTAATTGAACTGAAGTGTCATTGTGTGAAGAAGCTGTTACTATTAAGTGAGAGTATTATCACTGGGAGGATACTTAAAATCTTATATGATGTAAAAAACTTTAAGCGTACTGAATTGTGCTACTGCAACAATGAATCTACATAGCTCAAATAGGCCATACAGCATAGAGATCAAACACATAATTGCGCATAAAGAGCATTGATAATCTTTTTATTACCAATACTGGCAGAGAAGAATTGATCAGTTTGAGTATTCTGTTCCATCTGTCATTTGCTACTCTCAATTAATAGTCATGCACAACATATCAACGTAATTTCTATCGAACAGCTTGTGACAGTCAATTCTGTCCTACCATCTGAAGCATTCTTCACAACGTTTCGATATCAGCTAGTCAAAAACACTTCCGAGGAAACAACATTCAATGAAATGCCTCAACATCATGAGAACATCAGAACGTCGCTACATTAGAACTGAGTGCTCGAAATGGTTGAATTTTCTAAGTTATTTGAATCAAAATACTCATTGTAAGCAAGCATAAAGTCAGTAAATCTATAGAGTAGCAATAGCAGAGCGAAACTGAACCGAATTATACGAACTGAAACCAGTGAACTGGTATAGTTGGTTTGATTGCTAAGTGACTAAGTGAGGTGTTAGCTAACTGAGGAACCAGACGTAATTAGCGCATTCCTCCACATAAATCTTGTTAATCCACAGCCATAAAAAACACTTGGATCATTAATGAAAAAATAGAGCAATTTGTCGAATGTAAAACCAAAAAGCTTCACCTCCACCTGCTCGCTGTAATTATAATTCTAGAATGGTGAATCCATCAATAAAGTAACAATTCAGATCTTGGTTGAGCCAGTTTTTCAAATGTTTTATTTGCAAATTAATGATATCAACTTTCAACACGTTTGTTCACCATCAAAAGTTTTGATCATCCACTACTAATCATAAGGACCCAACAGATTGTTTTGTTCGCTTATCGTTCGGATTTTACTTTCAGTACAGTAANTTCACCTTTTTTAGCGATCCACATTCAGTGGTGCTAGATCCGTACTGATGCACCTTTGAGACGAATATGAGATCGAAGTGAATATTCTCCCGTATTCATTTGCTCACTTTATCGTTAATTGCTATATCTCTTCTATACAAATAGCTGCATATTATGTTTCGATGTCATCACACCAACAAATTCGAATCCATATTATTGATGATAAGCAGCAGCATCTTGCCATCGCAGATATCTTTCGCTCAGTGCAAAAGCAATTTGTTAGATCTCAAACTTTTAACAAATCCATCACTCAACTTAACTGCATCAATCAAACTCATTTCTTTTTCGTTTGATCATTATGTTCAAAATGTTTGTTCCATCAAACTCTGCATTCGTTTCATATCGACTGCGTTCGTTCGATTATTCCATGAAGGCCTTTGATGTTTTGAAAAGTCGTAACATTCGACTTGAATAATTGCAGACATCTTTGCAATATTGTGATGTTATCGTGTCCACTGAGAATTGCTTATTTCTCGTTTTTGGTTTTCACTGTTTCTTGGACATAACAAGTGAACTGCTGCTACGATTATAGATTTTCCATTATTTACTCATTCGTCGAAGCATGTATGCATGCATGCATGTATTTCCTTCCATCCATTCATCAGCAAAACCTGAGGGATTTCGAACATTCCGAAGCACGCTTGCTGCTTGAACGTCAAAATGCTTCCTCATAAGGTCACAAACTTGCTTCGCTTGTTTGGCTGGCAATCGCTCACAGTTACTGCTTGATATTCTTGGCTCTGTCCGGTAAGGGCGAGCAAAATGGTTGCTTTAAAGAGCAACATTTTCTGTTACAGCTCCACTGATATAATGCAAGTGATCGTTGTAGCTGCTCGAAAATGTGACGAAAATTTGAGTGTTTTGTTGAGAGCACTGCTTGACGAAGGAAGCAACCAAGCAAACATTTCACCGTTGAATAGCACGTTGAGGAAAACAAAATCTCGAATTGCAAAAAAAAATTTCAGAAACATGTTCAATGGAATGACTAACCTCGAATTCTCCTTTCAGTATCGGTCCAGCGCTCGCGATATACAATTTATGAGCATCATCCATAATCAGTTGCGAGGGTTTCCGCTTCACCTGAACAAATGACAATCAAATTTAAACTAATGCTACAATAGCATATTGTAAAGCAACGGTGCTGAATTACAGGTGTTTATATGCACTGGTATGTAATGCCCAGATTCGATGAGCAACCTTACGATATTGTATAATTTTTAGAATGCGCGTATGTTGAATGGTAGTTTTGCATGAATATATTTGATCAACGGCATTATATGGTGCGGTATACCATTTTTGGGTTTTGGTACTCAATACGGTTGGATTTCCTCAACAGCCATATCGGATCTAGCGCTCTCGCGATGAATAATGAATTCAACTACTGAAGAGCACAATTTGACATCATGAACCAACAATACCGCTCCAGTTGCTATATCTTTGCCCAAAAACATCCCATTCATGCGATTCTCAGCAAACGACTTGCAGCTGGTTCAGTAGCCATGATTGACTTTCACGGCTAATTGATGACCAACCAGCAGTAGCACAAACAAAGTAACATTTGGTGAACCTGTCGAGTCGCGAATCGTGTGCATCTGAAGTAGAGCACAACGTTGTCGTCGTGAACTTCCAACGCAAATTTGGTCCACTGATCGGTGAAATCCGGTACGAGGAACGACGTGAGCGCTCGAGATTCTGTCTCTTTGTTCGAGTCCGTATACAACAAAGTTATGTTCGTTTGACTTCCGCCTGCAAACCACCAGCTCTCAGAATCGTTTATGAGAAATTTTGTTGCCTGTAGAGCATGTCGAAACTGATATTCGAAAGATGGAGCAGACTGTGATTTTGACATTCAATACTTTAACAGTGTGAAATTGCTTTTGATGGCTACACACTATTGGTACGTCGTTGCTCAAAAATATCCGATTCATGAGTTATTCATGCGAT